GGACATTGCAGATCAAGTGTCATTCAATATAAACGTTACACGAAAAAATTTATTGTCGTCCACTTCAAAAAAAAAATACTCTGTTTTTCATATAGCAACCAATTTTCAACCATAATAAAATTTTTAGAGCCAGACTAGAACTTTCTAACAACAATTAAAAGAAAAGGTTAGCTTAAATATTGGTTATTCTACGCCAGGCTCGAAGCGTTTCTTTTTTTCACACTTCTTTTAAGATTTTCTTCCAACTAGTATGCAGATTAAAACAAATTCAGCGGCAACAGTTGCGCCAAAGTGTTCCCTACAAAGTCGCTTATAAGTACTTGAAAGGTTGTGTTAGAAAAATTTTGACTTTAATTATAAGAGACTGATTTATAATTATTTATAAGGTTATTAATTTATTTATAATATTAATTGATGAAATGAAACTATCATAGCAACACTATAATAGAAATGCTTAAAAGTTAAGTAGCTTATCACTATCATGAATATTAAACAAACCTTGGTTTTTTACAAGTATAATCTGTAATATTATTTATTAATAAAATTGTTACGCGATCAAAATTAGATTTTATATATATATAGCAAATGAACCTTTGTTTTTTACAAATATAATCTTTATTTATTAACTGCTAACAACAGTTAAAAGAAAAGGTTAGCTTAAATATTGGTTATTCTACACCAGGTTCAAAGCATTTCTTTTCTTCACACTTATTTTAAGATTTTCTTCCAATTAGTATTAGTATGCAGACTAAAACAAATTCAGTGGCAACAGTCATGCCAAAGTGTTCCCTACAAAGTTGCTTATAACTACTTGGAAGGTTGTGTTAGAAAAATTTTGACTTTAATTATAAGGACTGCAAATAACTTTAACGTAAATATAAATTTATATTAATTAATACTAATTCATTTATTAAATATTTTAAGATATGTATGTATTAAGGAAAAAAAATATATATTTATTAAATATTTTAAGATATGTATGTATTAAGGAAAAAAAAAAATATTTATATAATAATAATAAAATAATTATAACTCCATTTCTGTTTGATTTTTTTTTGATTTTCTTCGATTAGGTCCAAGATTGTGTCTCCAATATTCTTTCACTTTTCTTGCATTCCAATGATTTGGATTAAGCAAGAGTAATGAGTTCAATACAGGGTCAATTTTATCCATTGATGGCATCTCATTAAATGAAGCAAGGTTTTCAAGAATTTTTTTTTCATCCTGAGATGGTCTATATCTTGTATTTTTTGTTGGTAGAGGTTGTTCAAGATCTGTTGAAGGAGGAGGTATGTTGGAGGAGGATTCAATAGTTGTATTTACTATTTCAATGTCAATTATCATAGGATTAATTTTTTTTGGCTGTTTGGCTTTTTTTAAATTCTTTTTCTTTTCATTTATTTCTTTATTTAGGTCATTCCATTTGTACAAAGAAATGTCCTTCATACCAGTTCCTTTAATTGTTACATTTTGAAGTACTTCTCCATTTAACATAGTATAAAGCCGTTGAATTCCTTTATTATAACAGGTAAATATATTATTTAATCCTTCATCATTAAATTCCTTAACATCTTTAAACAAGGAATTTTCCAATGGAATTGTGCCATTAAATGTATTGTAGAGATCATCTATAAGTAACCAGAGACTCTCTTTACGACTATTAATTACTTTTTCACTTCTGGTATTAGATACATTGTCACCCAAAAACTCCGAAAAAAACACATTAATTCTTTCCTTCCTTGATTGCATTGATTTAATCTCCTTCATAAGATTTTCTTGTGAGGTAGGATTTTGACTTATATTCTGCTTAATGTATTTTATTCCATGTATTTCCATAGCTTCATCGAAGGCATAGTAGTGCCCTTCTCTTGACAAATTCACAGAACATACTCTTGACAAGAGATTCACTTGATCAGGATTTTTACAGAGGTAGGCAAGGAAATTAACAGTTGCTCTATAATAATTATATTTGCCAGTTACTGGAAATAATGGAGCAAAAGCTATTAAATTCTCTATCTGCATGTTGAAATTGCCTGTCCTAATTCCAACCTTGTGACCTTTCCAATATCCAGCCCATTTGTAGAATAAGTACCAAACTTTCAGAATATTGTTATTTTCCTGTAGTATATCTTTTATTGATATTTTTTTTTCTTCTACATACAGGTTAATTGCTATTCCAGTGGCAACCCACAATAACTCTATGGTTCTACAAGTTGCTCTATAATCAGCAACATCATCTAATTTATCTAAAAATTTGGAACCGAGTTTGGCTGCAATGTTGAAAATACCATATCCTGAAAAGGCAGAAATGAGCACAGTAAGCATTTCCTTATTTGTATGAAATTGACCAAACATTGGAAAAACCTTTGGATGACCTTTCTTATAACGTACAAGTCTTCGGAAACAGGGCTGGCTGTGTAACTCTAACTCAATTTGATGAAACTTTAGTCAATTTAATTTCGGTTTAGTCACGTTTGGCGAAACCGAAACTAGTGACTAAAGTTTCGTCAGTTGACGAAAGTGTAAAACCCTAATATAGTAATGATTGTCTTGATTATTTATCCCGTTACATTTTTAATTATAATGTAATGATAATAATGATAATAAATGTGTTTTTATTATAAATTGAAAATTTGTATTACAAAACAAAATATAACTCCAATTAATAATATTAAAAAAGACTATACCATTATATTACAATTAAAAAAATTAAAAACAACAACTTGTCAATATTAAGTCGGATTTAAATTTATTCATCCTCTGTCACCAAATTAGCAACTAATTCATGAGGATTATAATCAGTTATACCTTCTGCAAATGGACTAGTTATATCACTAGTTATATCTTGGGCTGAAATATCACTGCCTGAAATTAATACTGATAAATCAATTATTGATTCAATTGATAAATTATTATTATCAATGTTGTTATCAGAAACATCAGATAGATCCTCTTCTAATTCAAGTGATGTAAATGATTCCTCTTCTTCGAGATCCAATCCATCGATGACTGTTTCTGAGTTAGCCACACTAGAAAAATCAATATCATTATTTTTTTTTGGTACATAAAACATGGTTTTCTCAATATCTGAGATAAGATATGATCGGATTATTGCCATGGATTCCAAGTTGTCACTTGACAAAGAGTTTCTATTCAACCCATGGATCCATTTAAGTATTGAGAATGTTCTCTCACAACTTGCCTGAGAAGGTACTATTGAAAACAATTTAATTGCAAGTTGTTGCAAATAATTGTGATTATCTTCAATTGTTGTCCACCATGTAATAGGATCGTTAACATTAAATATAAAATCATAAGGGTATAAACCATCCTTAAATGAACGCATTTGCATGATGAGTTGGCTAACAGCTATATCTGTAAAACCTAACCTTGAAACATATGAAACAGCAATATCACATATTCGACGAAAATTTCCTTGTTTCATGGCATACCCTATAAATATATAGGGTGATTAATTATCATTATTTAAATCATTATAAATATAATATATTTTATAGATAATATTACCTTTATGTTTTGGATGCAAAAAGTAAGCAAGCAGATAAAGGTCAATTTCAAAAGAGTTAAATCTGGAGTTGAAAATTTTAATAATTTCTGATTGTAAATTCATATTGTTTGGTAATTGTTTAATTGCCAAAGCAAGATACACAAATCCTAAAAAACAATCTGAAAGATTGGCACTTCTTCGTTCAAGGCAATGAATGATTTGTTTGATTGGTTTAAAAATTTGTGAAATAATTCGTACATCATAAAAAAATCCTTGATTAGACATTAATGCTGCAACATCTCTATTTGTAACCACACTCCTATTTTCCTCAAGAATCTTTTTTTAATAATAATTATGAGTTATTGTTTATAAATTAAGTAAATAAAATAAGATAAGATAAAATAAGATAAAATACCTTTGCAAAAACTGGTTGGGATATTAAGACAGAATTTGTTGTATCAAACAATGACCCCCAGCGTATCTTGGAATATGACACAAGAAAGCCACCAGATATATTCATTGATTTCAGACCTTCATGGAGCAATGCATTTCCAATGTGGGATTTTTTAAAAAAACTCACCAATTTTCCAACTTTTGAAATTATTTCAGCCACAAATTCATTTTTCGCCATATCAGTAGCAATCAAGTTAATTGTATGTGCAATGCACCTAATGTTGAAAATATGTGGAAATGCATTGCAGATATTTTTTCTTGCACCTCTGATGTTGGATGCATGATCAGTCACCAAACCACAGAAATTGTTAGGACCAATTTCTTCTAAAATTGATTTGATTTCAGAAGTCAAAAAATCAGCTGTTTGTGACACTATACTATAATTTTTTAATTTGAATAAATATTCTTCTTTGCTTTGTGTGAGGATTACAAAACTATACAATACTCCACCAGACGGGGTTGTCCAACCATCAAGGGCTATTATTAATAAATAATATTAACAGAAAAATTTTGAAATTTACAAATAAATTAATAAAAAATTATATATTTTCGTTACCCAACGTCATATTTCTTTCACTTTTTACAAGTTTATTAAGTTTAATAGTAATTCTAGCAATTTCTTGATTAAGAAGTTGACCTGATAATTCTTTACGTGTAGCTGGATCATATCCAGGTTTAGCCAACTTCATAAAATCCATAAAAAATGGGTTAGATACAACATTCCAAGGTATCCCACATACAACAAATGCACGTAACAAGGCCTGATCTAATTTTTGTTTTTGTTCAATATTGCAATTAGTATTTTCATAATATGAATGTAAATTATTATTGGTTTTCCTTTTTTTTTTAGAGCTAGAGGAATTCCTTGAATTTGTTGCTGTACTTATTGACATTTTATCTTCAGACTCAACATCTGATACTGAATTTTTAGTTGCAAGTTTTTTTAAATATATTTGAGAAATTTCTCTATCAACTTTTTCACATTTAAGTGCAAGATGTGCTTCTAATTTATCTGGAATTCCTCTTCTCCAAAATTTCAAGCAATATCTACATTTTGCAGTATAGTGACCTTTTGATTTAGATGTATTTTTTTCAAAATATTGCCATACATCTGAAGAAGGTCGTCCACCTCTAATTATATTTGTAGTAGTAGTAGTAGTATCTTCAACTAAATTAATAGGATGTTCAATATTTACACCTATATCATCATCTCTAAAACAATGAAAACTTATGTAAATAAGTTTATTTATATTTATATTAATATTAGTTAATATGAGTTTATTATTTATTTATTATAATACCTACACATTATAAAATGCCATAGTTTTTTAATAAGAATTTTTTTATTGCTGCTGCTACTACTAATACTAATACTACTGTTGCTACTGATAACAATGATGTAAAAAAATCCACTATGATGATTTTGAGATGGTAATGATAATGATATTCGATATATATATATATATATATATATATTAATATATATATGTGAATGTAAATGTTATAGTTTTTATTAATTTTATTAATTTGTAAAAAAATAAAAGTTGTTGTTATATATTCAATGGAATATATAATGATGTAAATATAACATTGAGAAGTATGGAGAAGTAAAGAGTTTAAATGAGCGTGAGCATTTGGCTAAACTGACTAAACTATTTAGTCATTAATATTTATATAATAATTATTATTAAGTCAAGTCAATCATTACTAATTAGGATTTTAACCCCTTTATGCCAGACTTAAGTCAAGTGACTAAAGTTAAGTCAATGGCTAAATTTAAGTCAAGTGACTAAAGTTAAGTCAAGTGACTAAAGTTAAGTCAAGTGACTAAAGTTAAGTCAAGTGGCTAAAGTTAAGTCAGTGACTAAAGTTAAGTCATTACGTCAAATTGCATGAAAAAAACTAAACTTGACTTAACGCTTTTAGTCAAGTCATGTTGACTAAACCTTGAGGTTACGCAGCCAGCCCTGTTCGGAAAATAGCTTCATCAGCAACTATGTCAAGACGTTTGTCATAACCATTTTTTACTTCGGTATCATTTGAAAGAAGATCCTCCTCAAACAGGTCACATGTTGCAAAAACATTTTTATCACTATTAGGTTCAGGTCCTGCCTTGAGTATTACGACATTAGGTGGTTCAAGGAGTGTAGATGATTTTTGTAAATAATGGTGAGTAATTTCATCATGTATATGGAGTACATCTAAATCTCTCCCATGTACTTTTAATAATTCAGAAAAGGCATTATTTTTTATCTTATCCCATTCTTCAATAAATTCTGAAGATTCAAACAAATTAGAAAATGTTCTTGACCATTTTGATTGTTCCTTCATAATATTACTCAAAAGTTCTTGCAAGTTAAATTGAAAAATGATTCGA